ACCTAAATTTATATTCCTCACTTTTATGTTCAATACAGCAGATTTCTAACATATGGGTCTACAACTCGGTAAAAATGAAAAAAACCAGAGCATGTGCAGTGATCAAGTCTATTCTATCGCAAAAGAAAGCCACTATCTAGAGCGCACCAAGATATGCCCAGAACTCTACATGACAGTTTGTCCCTATCTGCTACAGTTAAACACTGAGTGCAAGAATTCAAGCCCGACGGGGAAAACATTGAAGATGAGCCCAGGCTACTATCAAAGAAAATGTAAGTTTTTTGGTAGAAGTGATTCTACATTCCATGCATATTATTATAATCAGCATTATATTTCTAGTTTTTCTGCTTTTGGTTCCTGTTAGTAACTTGTTTATTGCGGCGCAATAGATATCGTGTGTTTCTCAACTCAACTTACGTATATTGCTGATGATGATGAGGAGGATGGTGGTGTTGACGGTAATTATAAAAAAATAATAATAATAGTCATAATAATAATGGATAGAATCATTTAGGACCGCTGATCAACATTTCGTCAGATAACTTGAAGGCTGAACAGTTTCCGGATGCAAGGATATAATATTCAGACAAGGGAACTAAGCTACTCAAACGTTTCCGCTTGATAGATATCACATTCTTTGACTCCAGAGAAAAAGTGCGTTATTGCTTACGATGTCAAGAGCAATTTGGAACCTTTTAAGCCCCCATGCTTATAATTTATCGCACAATTTATCACTATGTTTCAGAGCCAATTCCATTAATATCAGCCAGAGAGTGGGGAGGCGAAAAATTTGACGGGCTGAAACATGTGAACGAACGGCCTGCATAACAAGCGTGACCGGCCCTTCTGCGCTGAAGTGACCATTGAAGCCTCCTAGGTGACCGTTTTATATACACATCGCCATCCTTGTGAGACATATATGGTGCGAATTTCGGTTCATCAGAAATTGTCTTTTAGTACGACCTTAACATATGCCATAAATGCTGCTTTCCTTTTTGCAAATATCATCCACACTCAGCGGAAATGTTTCCAAATCGCCAAAACTTCGTATTAAAGACCTGAGATCACGTCAGAAATGGTTGGAATGATCGGAAGTCGCCCCAGGTTCGTCTAACCGGGATGGCTACATATTTGTCACAAATTTGTCACTCATCATCATCATCATCACTACACCTCAGCGGGAGTGGAAACACTTCAGCTAACTGTGCCGCAATACAAGAGATAACATATATTAAGGGTGAAATAATAAACATTATAAAATGTAAGAACAAAATTAAAAGCAGGTGTGATATTGCCTTACTATTCAGGTAGTGTGGGATCATTGTGGAGAGGCAAGATACGCGGGAGAGAAGGAACATACAAACTCACTATACAAACGCCATTGGGGCCGGCTCTTTGCCACATCAGCAATTGCGTCCAACCAAACGTGTTCATCGTTCTTTGGACCCCAGCCAAGCAGTCCGGATGCACTAACCGACGCCGACTTCGATGTGAGGGTTTTCATTTCCCTCGACTAAGTCATCGCTTGGACTCCCCTACTCCTCTTTCAACCGCAACCCCGGCGCACAAACAATGCACGTCGCAGGAGTCCATGTGCTGGCACGCGTAACACGTGGCCTAGCCGTCGGAGCCTTGTACGTGATATATATATATATATATATATATATATATATATATATATATATATATATATATATATATATATATATATATATATATATAATAGTTTCTTCCCCTACGCTAACGGTATGCAAAGGACGTCTGGATGATTCGCTCCTCCACTAACATTATGCTATGCAATCAGTGATGTCTACGTCAACCAAACGCGACCAAAAGGTGCTCATTATCGGCTTTTGTGTTTGACTACTTACACACTGCTGCTGTGGAATATCATTCGGATACACTACAACTGGATTCCTCAATTACATCAGTCCAAGAAAGCGGCGCACGAGGGAGCGTTATCACTTCTTTTGTTCTTAAGACATACCTTCCCCATATTACTCTACGGTAACAATTCAATACGCATTGTAAAATCTTTTAATGAAACAGGGCATCTGAATTGCTAGACGCTTAAACTGAGGATCTACACAGGTTTGCTTTCACTTCAACCATCCTATGGGACTTGCAAAGCAGTCGCTTTTTGCCTGTAATATATCATCGTTCATTGAGCGGTTCATCCATTCTTCCTGCACCAAATACGCAACGCCGAACACGAGTCCATGGCTGGTGGGCGCAATGTCACTCTACTGCGAGTGCTGTGTCGGAAAATAGTGCTCAATAGAAAAAGATGCGCATCTTCACACAGTTGCAGCAACCACTCACCGTCCTCATAACAGGAACATACACCTTATTTGCTGCCCATATGCACCTCATCAGTGGACAAGGTTCCAACATAGTTGTTCAGATTGCCCGCAAACCTTACAGTATCCGTGGTGCTGCAGTTTGTGGTGGAGTATGCGTCATTGACAGACACCGTTTGTCCCCGCGAGACTTCGAAGCCTTGAACGAGCCCGCCAATCTAACGGCGCACATCCGGTTGTGTATTGGCATACAGTCAGCCATAGCAGCCGCAGCTCGAAGGCTCAGAGTAACGACTACACCAATTTGACCGGTTTTTAAAGCTGCGTCATCTCCGGACAAACGCAATCACAAAATGCCATCAATGTCACGGCTATGGGATCGCAAGAAAAGCACAGATGGAATCTTACAGTCGTTTTCGATAAACAGCAGATACCCATCGATAGGTACTCCAATGTTCGGGCCTGTGTTTTCAGCTGGACAGTCTGTAGCAAAGTGCGCACGTTGAGGTATGCCAGTCCTAGAGAGGATCGAAGGTTCTAGACAGGAATAGATCATCCTCATCCTTATAACGTTAGACAGAGATATGAACACGTCCTCCACTGTTCCGCGATACAAGAAAAAAGAAACGCAACACAGACGCGCCACCATAGCCATCCGTAACGGATGGACGTCATTCCTGAGAGCTAGCATCCGGCTGCTGTGCCGCAAAACGTTAAGTTATGCTTCAAGAATGAGCTCGTGATTGGAGGGGAACCAAGAATTTTACAACAGGGACGCCGCTGACGTCGGGTCATAGGTATGTCAACCAGTTATCCAACCAAACGTGCTCAACATTTTTCGAGTCCCAACCATGGAGTCGTGAGGCTCTAACCTAGGCCAACTTCGTACTGAGGGCACTCATCCTTCTTGATCACGTTGTTGGTTGGCCTCCCTTCCTCTTCTTCCATCCATACCCTGATAGCGCAAACAATGCAAGTCGCGGAAGTCGGTGTGCTGACAAACGCAATCGTCTCTCAGCCATCGGAGCCAGTTGCGTAAAATAACGTTGCTGATTGGTTCGCTTACTCTGCAAATATCATAAACAAGGCATCGAACAGGGGGTATTCCCACCAGATATCAGCCAAAATTATGAGCTACCGGTAGTCGAACGTAACCAGCCTCTTTACGTCTGTCGATCAAATTGGTCAGGTTATACAATCATACAGTAGGGTCGAAAGTACGAATGCATTGGAAAGTATCCTTCAGGGAAAGGGCGATGTCGCACCGGTGTTCTAAGCGGCGAAATTACTAAGTCGCCTTGAGCTTTTGCAATACGGTTAGTGACCTCGTCTTCGGTTCCACAGGCCTTGACACAACTGCTTAGTTAATTTAATTTCTGAACGACTTCTATCTGCTTCGCACCAAGGGTCAGCACAGGAGGCGGTCCCCACATATCATAAAGGAAAGCTTTTTATTTCGAGGGTACAAATCATGGTCCGAAACGACTGATAACCAGTACCAAACTGTCTAGTGCTGATTCGTAGTTTTGTGAGCTGGCACAGCTGTGGTCAATATCGTCAGCGTACACAAAGTCAGTAAGTCGTTTACCTTGTACCAGCTCCATACCTTCTGAATTGTAGCCTGTGAACCCTATTTCTGTGACTTCTTCAATAGTGAATTTGAAAAGGAAAGGTAACAGCAGGCGTCCCTGTCTTACATCACTGGAGATATTGAAGGGCGACGACAGCTTTCCGTAAGCACTAACTGTTTGAGCTACGCGCGTAAAGCTCTCGGATAATATTTACATACTTAGCAGGTACACGATTCCTTAGCACACAGTCCCAACGGCACATCGAACCGAGGACACGTTTGATGTCGAGGAATACGACGACAATGGACCGTCAATGTACGTACCGTCGGCCGGTGGCCGAGTGTTCTGGACGCCTGGCTTGCAACCATAAGGTCCGCGTAGGGGCGGGCGTCCTTGCGGTATACTCAGCCCACGCGCGACTGGTGGCCGCGCGGCAACGAAGCGCCGTTACGGTGTATAGCTGGCGATTTACTTTTTCCTTTGTACTCAGTGTACGCAACAGTGAAGATGTGATCGATGTAGCCCCGACCACTACAAAATCCGGCTTGCTCCTCGCAAATCTGGTTTTAACGGGTCCCAGTTAATCTGTGAGGAATGACAGAAGTAGCCTGGAGGGGATGAGGGTCAGATTGATTCCTCTCTGGTTGCCGCATTCCGAAGGCTAACATCCCTTATACATCGGGACAATATAACGGAGCGGTTCCAATCGGTTGGGACACTTACCTGCCCCCACACTTTCGCGCGTAACTCGTGTTTCATCATCCAAAATAGCAGGTCTCCCGAGGGAGATTATTTGGTCCCGCTGCCTTATTCAAATTCGGCAATCTGATCCCATGTTCGACTTCTGAGCAACAGTGCGGATCCAAATGGACATCCAAAAGAGCATAGTGATCACTGGACAATGAGAAACTTGACAATTCCAGTACTTAAACGACTTTGTAAATTTAACATCCCAACGCTCCAAGCATTTTGATAAGTTGTGGATTGGCTCTGCATTTCGTCACATCAGACTACCTGCTGCCAGTTATTCGTACCAACCGGAGTAACGTACCATGCTTACTAAGAGCAGCGGCCACTTCCATTTCCGACGCAAGATGATATTACCATGATGGGCAGTTGCTCTTCAGACTAGCACGGAGTTTTCTCTGGGGCCTTTGCGAGTCTCGTCGGGTTCAATTCCAGCCGGAATGGGCAGAAGCACATCAATAAGTTGGCTATTAAATTTACCACATGTGGAGTTGATTGCTGCTAAGGTCTGCTGAAAATATGACCAGTTACCTTCAACTGTATTTAGTAAGCGCTTGTAAGTGTTATCATAGTTCACAGTTTTAAGCCTTCGGCACGGTATCGCCATGCTGCCAATAAAGCGCGAGGAGGATTGTTTAGCCTCATCAGGGCGCTTAGCAACACTAAAGCAGCAGTATTCTTGCCGTTATATAAAGCAGTAGTTAAGCCACATCTGGGGTACTATTTTCAGGTTTGCACACCGTATCTCAGTAATGACGCTACGTATAAAGAGAAAATTCAGAAAATTGCGACCAAGATGATCGAAAGTCAATGAGGGAAGTATGAGTAGGATCGTTTATGCACCCAGGAAGGGTGAATTTTCAGCTGTAACACACGCAATCGAAACGGTAACGAAAAAATATAAAACACATGCACAAACATCAAAACAACGGCGGTTAAAACAATATTTCATGTATGGTACAGCATCACGCACATAATTTACTGTTTAGCTCTTGAATAATAATATTCGGATCACGTAGTAGTCTAGCTAGATAGGGTATCACAGATGAGCTGTAGGCCAGCTTGCGGACATATGTGGCTCTGTAGTTTCGTCGTTTTGAGGAAATAGATTTGCAGTTCGAAGAAACGCTATGTAAAATATGGCTGATATCAGTGCGTAATTTCGAAGAAAGTTGTGCGAATGAATTAACATGAACGGAATCAATGTGTTGAACTAAAGTTGGTTTAGAAATGCTACTGCATTAAGGGACTCAGTGGTATCAATCCCGTCCATCTGTTTGTGCTAGCTTCTTCGGACCAGTTGCGCGGGCATCGCCTGATGCTCAAAGAACTTAGGGCTGGTTTGAACATCGGTGAACGTTTTTACAAAGCAAGTAGTTAACATCTGGATCAAATTTTTTTCCGATGTAGTGGAATGTGAGACTGTAGAAGCCTGCAAAAGAGGCTTAGATAAGTGTTCGTTTGGCCTTTTTCTAAATCTTGTACTCATACTGGAATATGTAGTGTATTTCGGTGCTGACAAATGAAAGTGCGAAGATTGCACTTGTTCTTGCTTCCTTCTTTTGCAAAAGCAAGAAGAGTCAATCCAACCTCAAAGTATCGTGGGCTGTTTTTAATTACAGACGCAAGAAACAGGGCGCTCGTTAGGCGAAAGCCTCTATCGTCCGTGGTACCTGACCTGTGGTTTGACCACAATATTTCAAAAGTGGCACGTGCACTGCTTTACACAACTGGAGAAAAAGCATTAGCATAATAAAATAGGAGCCCTTCTGATTCGGGATAACTTCTGCAAGGCTTTGCTTAGAGGTGTGCAAATAAATGAGTACCAACTAAATATGTATGTAAAAGTTCAGGTCAGGTCAGTCCTTGAGTACGATACAGGCTTCCGGCTAACGAGCATCCCACTTCCTGAACCGGTGAGAGACTGGCTCTTTGTCTAGCTAATAGACTGTTGAGAATACAATACAATACAAAATACCGGTGAGAGAATCAAGCCCCCCGGCAGTTCGATGTTACAATGATCCAGCGTATAGAGAACGAGAACAATTCGGTTAGGTCAGGTAGAACGGATGATAGGGACGTTCGCACACGACCGTCCAGCTTCTGGTGCCGGTATTTGAAGCAGCCCACGGCACTCCGACGTTTGTTCGCTCGCTCCAGTAACATTGCAGTAATTCAGGACACAGATCTGGGCAATATTTATTTAGGACACATTTGCAGGCTTCTACAGTGTCACATATTATAAATCAGGAAGAAGCATATACCAGGAGCTCGCGACACGATTTATGAAAAATTTCTTATGATGTCCAGCCGAGACCTCTAATGTTTGAGCTTAAGTCGATGTCCTTGCAAGCAGTCAGATGATGCAAGCTCAAAAAATCTGTAGGATGGATCCCACAGCGGCCCCTCAAAAGTTTGAACGTCTGAATTGCTTCTGTCAAATGCGCGACCGACAGAAGATAAGGACACTGGCGCGGTCGCATGGCGAGTAAGGTCTGCCGCTATGTTTGAGTTTATATTCTACTATCCTACATTAGAAGCTTTGAGCCCAAAGTAGCTCTCGATAACGCAGAGGAACATATATCCCATTTACGGGTAGGATTCGCTTTATACCTAAGCTCTGAACGGATTGGATCCTTAGCAATGCAAAAAACAGCAAAAAGAACACTAGGCAAATTGTAGATTAACTATAAGGTGGTTTAACACGACCTAATGTCATTGTATGCCTAGGATGATCATATATATATATATATATACATATATATATATATCGCATTTAGCTAACAATTCACGATAGTTAGATACCGTCCTCCATGGCGCAGTTGCATAAGCTGCGGGCTAGTTGGCAAGAGCCGCTGGCAGTCATGGGTTCGATCCGCCGCAGAGGACCGAAGGATGCGCACCACTGATGAGCCCCAATAGGGCGAAACGGCCGTCTGGTGCTTTTCCGGACAGCTGGTCGACATACCTGAATTGTCGGCTGATTGCGACGAACAAAATATGACATATATTTGTGGCTTTGTAGGGTATACTTGTAACACGACCAAAGCCTTTTAAGTTCCCGCTACTCGCGAAATGGACGGATCCTTTACCATTAGGCTACCACTCAGTCTTCGTCTTTCCAAAGTTGTCATGACGACAAAGGTATTAGCTTGCCCTAAGAATGGGCGATGGTTAAACACGGGTAATAAAGCCTGTGCTTGACAAGTCCCTTAGGATGGTTGGTGTATAATATAAACATGTAATTGTTAAGGAATAAGCAAATCACCAGTTTAGGCATTTACCGATTTAAAGGCACTCCTTGCATAACGATAGTTTGAAATGGGATGTGCGCACCAAAAAGAGTATAGGGTTATTATAGTTCAGTAAGGGCGTGAGAAGTAAAAATGAATACCACAACGCTTACTCGTGGGTTGCTTCAGTTGACAGATGCGTTACTTTAATCGAGTACAGGTAAATCTATGCTACTCACGAGGCCAATACTGCATGTATCCCTGTGCAGCAGGATGGAAACTGCAGTTGCAGCGCGTCCGAGGTTGAATCCCTGCATTGGGTTCAGTGTGTTATAGACAGCAGTAGGGAAATCCCTGGTCAGCCCCATCGATTCCGTATCATACTGGGTTTGCTGCGCGTCGTAGCGTTACGACGTTCCTCGACGGTTCGTCGCAATTGCACTGACCGTCGCAAGGTTCCAGTGTTCTTGGTGAATGATTGTCTAGCAGCCGTTTGAAAGGTTATTCCGGTGGGCCGTTCCAACCATTGACCACTCGCGTGGATAAGGTGACGTCCATGCGAATGCTGTGTCTTCTTTGCTTAAGTAGTTTCCGTGTGTGACCACATGTGGAGCGGCCAGTGTATGGCCGGTAGAAATGTTATAACTCACTCAAGTTCCCGTCTGAGGATGCGCCTAGTGTATATGAGAACACGCCGGCGACGGCGGAGCTCCATCAAGAATAGCTTTAGCTATTGGAGTCTAATGGGGTACGGGAGATCACGGCGTCCCAGCACAGCTTCCGAGGCACGTTTCTGAACATTTTCTAGCAAAGCGCATTCAAACATTGAAAGCGGATGGATAGCAGGTAGGCCACATTCTAAGGCTGAACGGAGGTATGAAGTGTACAAACTTCGAAAAATCTCAAGAGTAATTCGAGCGGATAAGCTCTTTAAGGCAATCAGTACTCTCCTTCTTGTGGCCACGTTCTTCAAAGCGATCGGCGTCGTTCTAAGGGCAGAAGTCTCAATAACCCCGTGATCACTCGCGTGCGTGGTATTCATGAAGAGAAACCCACCAATGCGGTATGTACCGTACGGTCCGGTGCTACCCATTAAGAGAACAGCGATTTACTAGCAAAGCTTATTTGAGATACCATTCGTGTAGCTGGTCTAGGGCCCCTTGTAATCTGTTCGCATCCTCAAGACTGGATACTGTTGACCACAGTTTGAGAACACCCGCGTAGCTCATGCATACGGTTTGGATTGCAGTCTGCAGCTCGTTAATGTACGGTTTGAATAGCTCTGGTCCAAGCAGTTATCCTTGGGGAATACCACGAGTCCCAGGAACAAGAGAAGCGAGGGTTTGGTTCATTTGTACGCACATTGTCCCACCTCGTAAGAAATCAGCAATCCAAGAGAGAATATTTCTGTAATGGCAATTCCATGGATTTTGTCTAGCAGTCGTACGTGTGGCACTGTATCAAAGGCTTTACTGAATTCAATGAATATTACATGAACCTGTTTTCCAACGTCCATGGCTTCTGCCCATGTTTCCCTGACGATGAATAAGTAAGAGATGTATCAGCGTGCTCTCCGGGGGCCATGTTCAGCTGGTGAGTTGGTTGTTAGATCCAGAAAGTGTGACCGAACTGCACCCTTACTATTCGTTCCATGGATTTGCATACTAATTTTGTCAGGCATATTGGTTGATAGTTCGCTGGGTCTCGGTGGTTTCCCCTTGTATCTGGGCAGGACGGTAAGTGCTTTCCATCCTAGGGTGCGCAGCCGACTTCGAGTGCCTGCCAGAGTGCTTGGCAGAGGGTGGCGGTGACGTACTCAGCAATCGCTTTAGGAGGCTGGGACGCAATCCGTCCGGGTCTGGGGAATTCGGGTACAATTCGATGAGCGGCTTAGTGACCACCTCGGGGTTAGTTTCAACTTGGTCAGTAGAGTAGCAGCGTACAGGCGTACAGTAGTCGAGTAGCGGTGTTTCTTCTGGGTAGACCGAGGATTATTGCGCAGTCAATAGATTTGCTTTTTCACCATCGCCGTAGAGAACGGTGCCTACCATACAAAAGGATAGAGCGGGGATGCCACTACTCGTTTCGGCCCTTACCCTCAGGTAAGCAAAACGTTTTGGTACCGTCTTTGGATTCCGTGCTTAGTTCATGTACATATTGTAATCTTTCGTCTCGTGTTCTCAGTATGCATAGGTTTCTGATAGTTTTGTACCCTAAGTAGCTTGATGTCAGTCCTGTGACCTTGAAATGATCCCATCGTTTTCGTCGCTTTTTCATTAAGGATCTTACTGCTTCATCAATCCATGAGGTCCATTTGATAGGGGTCCGCTCCTGCAGCTTAAAACAAACTGTTTCATGTGACCCGCAATTTCAT